ATTCTGAAGACAAATTTAAAGTTGGATGTGGGGAATTTGGTGATGCGATTTACAGCAAACATCGATTCCACTGTGGTGTGAGTGCTTCTTGAGAGATGTTGGAAACTGGTAAAGACTGAGGCTTAGATTCGACTAGTGTGAAAGCGACCCCCTGTCTATGATTTGACAATGTTCCCAAATGCCGGGGGAGAGTACTCGAAATCCTGCGGTTGTTCAAACAGTAACTTCGGGCCGATTCACTCGTACCTTTTCCTCTTGCTTCTTGCTAACTGTTGCATGTTCAAAGGCAACTGAATTTGTTTTGTTCCTTGAGAAATTATTATCAGTTGTGAAATTACGAGAATAGGCCGGGAAGAAATCGAGAAGAAAACGGGGGATAACGGATGGACGGCTATTGCACCTTAGGGAAGTTAAAACCTGTGCAACTCTACCACTTCGAGTTTTCAAGTAAACAAGAAATTTGTGGTAATGAACTGCTGCAAAGCAGAATTTAAAAAAAAAAAAATTTGGAGATGGGCTGCCAGGGAACAGTGTTGCAACAAGCAAGAGGGGTCGCAGCTCTCGATCACTGGACGCATGCCTCCCCATTCCGGACTACTTTTTTTCGGTTCTTTTTCACTGCATCAGGGCGCGATCATGCTGCTGGTGGTTTCTTTTTCGCAGATATTTGTCTGAGATTCTTAAGAGCACGTTCTGGAAAAGCCGCTGCATGGTTGCAGCTGTTCCTGTTTCAGGCGTACAGTTTCAGCAACGTTGAAATCGGTTTCGATGACAGCTGACAGCAACGAACGATTTGCCGTTATTTTAGCGGGCATCCGAATTAATGACAATTTGTATGATACTCAGTTCAGCTGCACCGATTTCGTCGCTAATCTCGATGTTTGTTTGCCGCTTAAGATATTTTGAATGTTGCGGGTCTGTCCCATTTCTCAGGCATTTCAACATTGTGGTACATCGCATAATTTCCGCTAGTGGTTTCATCTGTCTAATTCTCCCAAGCTTCAAGGAACTTTCCTCGTGCGTCCCAGTAACTGTTGCGGATAATGAGCGATTTCGTTCATAACCCACCCTGTTACCAGTGTTATCTCCAGATTTCATGAGTTTGGTAGGGTTCTCTGAGACAAGTACTTCTCTTCATTTCTGAGCATCTTATACGTCTAGGTAGCGACGTGCCAGGCTTACTGGTGCGAGCTTACATTTTTGCGCTAGACGTTAGCAGTATGAATGGTTGTTGCTTTATGTTTAACTTGTGCATTCATTGT